CAGGATTGCAAACACAAGGAGAATAAATAGGGAGAAAACAAGGCAGGTAACGAGGGAGAACAGGTGGGGCAAATGAACCAATAATCAGGTAACAAGATGGGCGGGGTTAGACAATCGACAGGAGAGCACATGGCACAAGGAAACACACGTCAAGCCATGTGCTCACAACAAACCGGACTAGAACACAAGCACATGGCCAGTAAAACAAATCACCAGCCATGTGCTCACACAACACGAGACATGAGCACGCAGCTAATGAGAACACTCATAAGCCAAGTGTTCACACACAACATAACAACATGAAAGCACACAGCTAGTGTAAAACACAAGCTGTGTGCTGCACAGCACAAGACAAAACATGACATGAAAGCATGTGGCCGATGTAAACACGAACCGCATGCTACACAAAACACAACACACGTGGACGAGCGAACTCGAAACCACACGCTCACAAGACAGAGCGCATGAGAACGAGTGTAAGCTCATCCTGGACAAACACACGGAGCATGAATGTCCGAATCCCGACACAGAACCGAAACCAAACTCGACAGATGTGCCGGGATCCAAACACCACGCATAAGGTATACAGACAAGAGAGAGAACGTTCGGAGCCGCGCGCCCACACACAGACATGACAAAACAGGAGTGTCAGAGCTCTGTCACAAAACCAAGAAATAAACTAGACAGAAGTGACAGAACCCTTACAGACGGAGTGTCAAATTGTGAAAGAATGTTTGTGAGGAAGCATAAAAAATAATTTTCAGACATGAATTGGCTCCTCTGAGTCCAGACCCTAAATTCAATGAAAGTCTTTGGATGTGCTGGAGGAGACTTTACCAAACATTAATGCACCTCTTGATGGGAATAACATCACAACATTTATTTTCATCAAGAGTGGAATTTATTTTTGGTCAAGATCTTGTATTGACAATGCAAGAGTCCAGCACTCTGTAAAGTCTCCTCCAGAACATCCCAAAGACTTTCAATGAGTTTAAGGTCTGGATCAGAGGTGCCAATTCATGTGAGAAAATGATTCTTCATGCTCTCTCCTAAACATTCTTTCACAATTTGAACCTGATGAATCTTGACATTGTCATCCTGGAATATGGCCATGATGTGTCTTCCTACATGGTTGAATAAGAAATGGTTGTTAAGAAATGGTTGTTTACCTCAACTAAAATGAAACCGAATATGCAGGATAAAGTAAAAGCTAATACAATATGAGTATATAAATATCACTAAACTGGTTATCACACTTCTTTGTTTCTCACAGTGTTTAGAATCAGTGCAGAGGGGGATCATTATTCTGACAGGTGGCTTCATCCTTTCACATAATATGAATATCAATGGAGGCGAAGATAATGGCTACAGAGACAGTTTAACTCTGTCTTCCCAGCAATATTTATCCCTTTCATCATCAAGCATATTTACTAAATAGACCACAGCACATCAAATTAGACATATCAGGATTAACAAGCCAAAAATGATCATTTCCAGACTATGGTGCGACTGATCTGTAGAAACTGCTAAGACAGCAGCACAATGCAGAGAGTCTCATCCAACAGCACAGCCTGTTTTTTTCTTTGTGTGTGTGCACATTTATTGATCCCCACAATGCATCCTGGTGTCGGGTGTAAATGAGACCATGGACATCCTTAAGAACCATTACATTGATCAGAGTATAAAGACGACTTGCTCGGCTACGTTTAAAGAGTCCATTAAAAAACATCAGCCTCTGAAACCCCATCACACCCAGTAAGGTGATCTCACTTTTCCCTCCCATCCCCATGGTAACCTGCAGGGATGTGTCTGGGCTAGGAGGGGCTGTGAGAAGGTAACAGATATTTTTAATAGTCAATATGTTTGTTTGTCTTGGAGACCTAACGACCAAAAGTTGACTCTGCGAGTGCCTAATTATAAGTAGCCAAACTCATCTGGTTTAAATAACCCGCAGCACATAAAGAGTCTGATTCATACTGCATTAGAGAATGATTCAAATATTCCAAAAGGATGCACACATCAAATTCAGATGATATGAGACCAGCAAACGAATTATATAGAGAAGCATATAGTCCCTGGTTGAAGAAAGAGAGCAGCTTTTGTTATTTTCTTTGCTTATAGAAATAAATGTCCCTTCAGGAAAAAAAAGGTAAATCTATAAATGATGAGAATTGCTGTGAAGGTGATGCACCAGAGACGCAGGACGGAGCCTCGCGCATTCTGCTGTTACTGTCTGTCACCTTGTTGGAGCCCCTCCGGACATCGAAATGCACGGACGCACGTAAATAAAAAATCGCTTTCGGACATGGTCGGGTGTCTCTCACCTCTTGTCCAGGCAGATGATCCACTCGGAGGAGGCCACGGAGTGCGCAGAGGTGTGCACCGCTACCATCTTCGGCTCGACCGGTGTGAATCGCAGATCTCTTCGACTCGCGCGCATCAGGGCTCGTCCCCCTCCCCGCCTCTGTCGTCAACTGGATCACCGTGGCGTGGGTTCATCGTCACCACGTCCACGCGCACAACGATCGTTTACGACCGTGACTGCTCACTGACACGATAAACAAGTCACGTTCTGTACAGCAAAGCATTATCGGTTGGAGATCTGTGTTGACGATGGTTAAGATAACATTACGTGGCTGCCATGGTTTAAACATAACGTCAGTGGGAGGGCTTGGGAATATCACGGAAAAGGCGATGAGAATCGATTAAAATACTGATATGATGCATTAAGGTTTTGTAGGTGACAGCGGTGATGCTGATGCTGCACTGTCACCATGGTGATGACGGGCACGCGGTCAGCGAGAAGCTACATCTATAGACGCGAGACGAGGAAAGGGGAGCGCGCGCTGTCAGGCGTCGTGTTCTCCCCGGGGGTGACACACACACACACACACACACACTGTCGGAAAATAAACAAGGAGTCGCAACTGTCGCATGCATGGCTACACTGTAAATAGGGAAAACAGTTGCAGTTGTTAGCTATTTGTACCTGATCTTACCTTTACATTTTTGTGTGTGTGTGTGTAACCTAATGTCGATTCATTCATATTAAATAAGAATTTTAGGTTACATTTTAAGGTGACGTAGTTACATTGTAATCACTCAAATAAGTACTGAGTAATACAATTCACTACATACTTACTAGAGGTTTGGTCGGGTTAGTTACTTGTAACTATGCATAATTTACTGTTATTACTACAGTAAGTACACGTAGTAACGTGTACCTATGTCACCTTAAAATAAAGTGTCGCCAAATTTTATATCAATTACTATTTAATTAATTAAATATTCATATAATCAATCAATTAATTAAAAAATAAATACACACATAATATAATTATAATACAAATACTAATAACCTTTTCTTGGTGTAACCTAATGCATTTTTATTCATATTAAATAATACTGAAGAATCTTTCTGCAATATTAATATAATTAATTATTAAATAAAGTAAAATAAATTAATTTAATGTATTATTTAAAATAATATTAAATCATATTTTGACATACCCAGGGAGTTGGCTACACTGTAAAAGGGAACAGTTGCAATTGTTAGACTTTTTTAAAACCTAATCTTATTTTTAATAAAATAGCCTTTTATAGTGTAACATAATGTAATCTGGTTTATTAATACATATTACATATTTAATAAAAATTTTGCAACATTAATATAATGAATTAGTAATACATATAATTATTTTAAATAATAATATATACATTTAAATTAAATAATATTTTGTCTAATAATAATAATAACCACATGAAGTACATTTTAGGTAACTCATTTTAAACAGTATGAGATAATAAAAAGAATAGACGCTTTATTCCTGCCACCAAAAAGAGTAAAATATTCACAAGTTCAGTGTTTAAATTATATCTTTGACAGGGATCTGGTAAAAAAAAAAAAAAAAACATTCTCAGCACTAAGTGTATCATACATGTTGTAGCACAATAATATATTACATGTTTACAGTATAGCACATTTAGACATTGGCTGAAGTATAAGGAGCAATGTGTTCCTATTTCATAACAACAAAGTGAGAAAAAAAAGCTTCTTCAGTCAATTTATCAGTTTGAAATGTCACTGATGCATCTCTTGTGCTAAAGAAAAAGCAAGCATGATCATGCATTATCTCTGTTGAAGTTCACATCTGAAAGCTTCTTCCCTTAAAAATGGTTCACTGTGTTGATTGAGTCTCGTGACAGCAGAGGTGACAATTCTTCTGCCGAAGCAAAAGCTCTGGACACTCATGTGACCTGAATGCAAAAATAGCTTAAAGATTATGTACAGAACTCTATGAGCGAATCCCTGACACCTTTTTATACATATAACAACGACATGGACACATTATGCATTATTTCATTTCAGTCTTGGCATTTTTGGGGACAGACTCTACATTCATACTGAATCAAAAGAAATCTCACAGGTTCGATACCACATTACTGACAATGCCCATTATATCTTATGTCCAGAAGATCTATTAAACATTTAAAACATAACTTTATGTGAAGTATCAATATTTTACATATTTGAATATGCATATATTTGGCACTTTCCATGAATGTGGCACACTATGGTGTCCCACTCCCCTTTTTTTTGCATACTGCATGCAAGCCTGTTACAGCATAATTTTCCCACATTACAAAAAATGCAACATTCTCTAAAATTGTAATATCCAATAAATAAGATAATTCGGACCCTTTAGTGGGAAAGACAAGTATATTATCTCATTTCATATTCTCAATTTTTACACAAATTATTTTGACTGCAATTGTCAAGCTAATCTTTTCAACCCTGTTACCAAGGTTATTATAAGATTAAAAACAACCAAACTAATGTTGTCTTCAATTTTTGTGAATTATAAGTTATATCCATAAATATAAACCAACACTTGGTCCCAATCTAGCTAGCCCTTACTTGCAATCCTGTTACCCAAATTCGTTTTTTAACTAAAACTAAATGTACCATATTTACGGAAAGCGTCAATTACATCATTCTTTATTGACAGTCTTTCATCTTGCAATCTTTATACACAAAGTCCCACCCTGAATAAATATTTTCCTGCTATTGCGTGTTCAGGCATCGTCCTGCTCTGAAGAAACAGCCGTGGGACAGTTTATGTTGGCTATCGTCCTGTAGACAAAGTAAAAGTGTTGAGGGTTCGGTCGACTGTGTAACTCTGCCTTTATCCACTGAGGTTGTGTGTCTGCGGCCAATTGTTGGCTGCTGTCGTCTGTGAGAAGAAAGAGGCCGTAGTTTTCCGGATCGGACACGCAGAATTTAAGTGCACAAAGGCGGCACACCTCTTCTGTTGTGGCGTGGGGCCGGACCTGAAGGGTTTTAGCCGTGCAGCCGCTACCTGCCTTCTGCAGAGCCACACGCATGTAATTCTTCACAAACAAAACAAAGATATTATAGCGAGTTTATAACCACTCCGCAAACTTTATGGAATAAAAATATTCCATGTCCATTAAATGTCCCGAGGTCAGGGTTTTACCTGGAAGTCGTCCACTGAGGGCAGGTTTCTCTGCAGTGTGCGACGCTGGTGCCACTGGTGGAGTGTGTCGCGCGCTGTAGAGCTGAGGATCCGTGCAGCCTGTTCCTCCTGGAAGTTCTTAATCAGTGACATCGCTCCGTATGCACTGGTGAGGTAATAACCTCCTGTACAGGATCAAGACAAAAGGAGAATCTTACTGTTTTAATACTGTGAACCTAAATAAAAACTCTGTTTGTCCAATACTATAAAGTACTGCTCAGAAGTTTGGGGTTGGTAAGATTTTTAATGTTTTTGAAATAAGCTCACGAGGCTACATTTGTTCGATTAAAAATACAGTAAAAACAGTAACATTGTGAATTACTGTATATTAAGAAATATTGTATTTAAAACTGTATTTTACTGTATTATTCTATTGTTATTTTTTTTTTTATGTAAATAACTCCTGCTGAATTCTCAGCATCATTACTCCAGTCTTCAGTGTCACATGATCCTTCAGAAATCATTCTAATATGCTGATTTGGTTCTCAAGAAACTTTTCTGATTATTATCAATTTTGAAAACAGTTGTGTCGCTTAATATTATTGTAGAAACCGTGATACATTTTTAGTATTCTTTAATGAATAAAAGTTCAAAAGAACAGCAATTATTTGAAATAGAAATCACATTATAAATGGCTTTACTGTCAGTTTTGATCAAATGAATGCATCCTGGCTCAATAGAAGCATTAAAGGGATAGTTCACCCAAAAATAAAAATAAAAAAGAACCCCATTATTAACTCACCCTCAAGTCATCCTAGGTTTATATGACTTTCTTCTTTCAGACGAATACAATCGGAGTTATATTAAAAAAAATCCTGGCTCTTCCAAGCTTTATAATGGCAGTGAATTGAGGACGAGATTTTGAAGCCTAAAAAAGTTCATCAATCCATCGAACTGCACACGGCTCTGGGGGTTGATAAAGGCCTTCTGAAGCGAAGCGATGCGTTTGTGTAAGAAAAATATACATATTTAAAACTTTTAAAAAATAAAATAACTAGCTTCCGGCAGACGGCCTACACAAGTTGCCTTACGCCAAAAGATGTAGGAGTAACGTAAGCTTTGATGCCTCTCGCGGTTCAAACAAATAGGCCTGAGCAACAAACTCAAGCTCCTCTCCTCTTATATTACAAAGCCCATTACAAAGCTTGGAAGAGCCAGGATTTTTTTTTATATATCTCCGATATATAAAATTCACCTGAAAGAAGAAAGTCATATAGAATGGCTTGAGGGTGAGTAAATCATGGGGTAATTTTCATTTTTGGGTGAACGATCCCATTAGGTCATCAGGTTTGTGACCTGACTGTGTACAACTGTACATACAATATAATAAATCTTTTCCACGAATGGCTGCCGCACTGAGCTCAGTGAGAACAGGAGACACACACCCTTGGAGGAAATTACTCAGTTGAGAATAGAACTTAGGATGTTCGTCACACACGGAAAATGCTTCTGTTCGGAAACTCCTCCTACTCCACAATTATTAAAGGATTAGTTCACACAAAAATGAAAAATCTTTCATCAATTACTCACCCACATGTCGTTTCAAATCAACAAGACTTTAGTTCATCTTTGAAACACAAATAAAGATATTTCTATTGAAGAGACGTAATCGCTTTATATGATGAACAGATTTAATTTAAGCTTTTATTCACATATAAACATTGATCCGCGAACATGTTAACAGCATTCAAATTTGGTCACGGAAACCCAAGCACGCTTGCAAAAGCAAGTCTTATGGGTTTGGAACGACAGGAGGGTGAGTAAATGGCTCATTTTTGGATCAACCAACCCTTTAAATTCATTAATATTACAAAGGGTTCTGATTCAGGCATTACAAACCAAGAAAGAGAATTCACATTAAATATTGGACAGGAGAAACAATGTAAAATTACATTAATTTAAATAAATTATTACACAAATATAAGGACATGCTGACGCACCTTCTCCATGCAGTAATGGAGGATCTATCAGCTCCATCATATACAGGATCTCAGTGTCCAACTGTGGCATGTCACACTGGACCAGTACATATGTCAACATGGGCAGGAAATCATCCGCGCCAAACATCCTCACTGGAGCAGACAGAGGAAACGTTTATCAGTGACCTTTACACGAGCCATTCCACTTGATTAAGGTGTAAATACTTTCACCTTTCAAATACTAATCTCATATACTGCATTACAATTCATATATACTATTCATCCTAAATAGCATTCAGAATTAGGATTTGGTGTCTGAAACAGTAGCATGTTGAAATGAGTATCCCAAAAGTACCCGGATGTTCTTTCACACTCTAACAGCTAATACTGCCCTAATATTAGATAAGAACTACAAAATGAAGTGTAAAAAAAAACATGGCGGATGTGTGAGACCAAAGGTTAAGTAGAGAGGTTTAGATAAAGGGGTTTGATAGTCGGTATCTAATCTGCTGAAAAACAATGTTATCTACATTATATTGCATCTTCAACAACATTGTAAACTTTTATAAAGATACATTTGGTCATTATCTTTTAAATACATCATTCAAACACACAAGGAGAGTTTTCCGCATAAAAAGGCCCACGAATAGCAGATCAACGTGCTACTACATTTTACATTTATTCCTTTTTTTAGCAGAATTTCTCTCCAATACGGTAGGAAATTAAATTGAATGTGGAGGATGTTAACTGTGACAGGGCAGATTAAACGGTGACGGGATGCACATAACTAAGCGACAGAGCTGTCCTTTAAAGAAGCAATTATGATGAAGTAGTATCTTGCCTACTCTTCTGCTACACATTCAAAGTATGTACTTTTTCTTCACAAAAAGAGTACATCATTTGAAGGCATAATATAAGTAGGTGAATCTGGACGCAGCAGTACACACCTAAAACATAAACACACATAAAGCCTTTAAATAAACCCTTGAGGCATAACTCCACCTGTACACACCTTCATGATCTTGCATGATACTGTAGATGAGTTTGCAGACTTTCAGCAGCACCGATATCTTCCTCTCAGGTGAGTGCATGCTGCACATGGCTCGGAGTTTTCTGCGGATGCGGTGGATGGCGTAGGCGTCTGGTGGCCGGGCTCCGATCGCTCCCAGCTCGTGAGGTTGTTTGGTCTTGGCCAGGGTCAGATTCTCCTGCAGCCTCTGACACACTCCTCCGGCCACCTGGAACTCGTACAGCGCTGACTGCAAGCAGCCATACAGAGGTTTCAGCACACACTTATGCATGGCCTTCTCCAACACCGGATCTGAGAAAGAGATGGACTTTCAGTTAACGCTTCAGAGAAACTTAACATCTTCATAGTGATAAAAAAAATGAATTGACATGAATTATTAACTACTGAACTTTTAGACAGTTTTAAAGGAATAGTTCACCACCCCCTAATGAAACTTCATAATTTGTCGTTCTAAACGTGTAGAACACCAAAAAAAGATGTTCTGAAACAGGGTTACTATTGTTAACTAAAACTAAAATTAAAACTAAATCTAAAACCATAAAAAAACTTCTTTTTTTTTAACTTAAATAAAATAAATGTGAACTGAAATAAAAAACAATATAATTTGTAACATATTTCAGCTTGTTGGCAAGACAACCTTTCTTAATTTTATTTTGTTTTATCTTGAAGTGCTAAAATAACTAAAAACTGAAATATAAAAATGAATAAGAACAATCTACATTACTTAAAAAGCTAATAAAAAAACAACAATGAAATGACCACCACTTTAGAAATTAAAACAGAAAATATAATACTAAAAAAAGTTCTGAAAAATATTCTGAAGAACAAACATTTCAGACTATTCCTCAAAGCCATCATATGACTTGGAATATAGCACATATAAAGTCAAATGGACTATTTTGGTGATAGTTTTTTAATGGTGCAGTTGTTTTTTATTCACTTATATTGTATTCATCACATTACATCACATGAAAGCTGAATAAATAAGCTTTCCATTGGTGTATGGTTTGTTAGGATAGGACAATATTTGGCAAAGATACAACTATTTGAAAATCTGGAATCTGAGCGTGCAAAAAAAATCTAAACATTGAGAAAATCGCCTTTAAAATGGTCCATTTATGTTCGCGATTGTGCTGCATTCACTCACAAAAATAAATGTTTTATATATTTACGGTAGGAAATTTACAAAATATCTTCATTGAACATGATCTTTCCTTAATATACTAATGATTTTTGGGATAAAAGAAAAATCAATAATTTTGACCCATCCAATGTATTGTTGGCTATTGCCACACATATACCCGTGCTACTTGTGACTGGTTTTGTGATCCAGGGTCACAATTGTGAAACAATTGTGTGTCAGAAACTCAATGATAGAACAGTTACCTTTTGATTATGAGAGATTTTAGCCACGAGTAGATCGAACCATTATGAAATTCTGACTGAAACGCCTTTTAATTCAAACTGACAATTTTTTTCTTCAATGGTACAATCTATCTATAAATTACAGGAACGTCTGTCTGTGTGTGTGTGTGTGTGTGTGTGTGTCTGTCTGTCTGTTATTCGCATATCTCTCGAACCGTTAGTCCTATTAATTTCAAACTTGCCAGGTGTCTTGCTACGGGCACGAGTAAGTGCAGTGCCAAGTTTGGCGTTGTTTGGATAAGAAATGCAAAAGATATTGTTAAATATACCTGTAAAAGAAGCACTCAGAAGGTTGTGGTTTAAAAATAAACATTCTGACATTATGTTTTGTGGTTTAAAAATAAACAATAAACAAACACTCTCTGGATGTTAACTAAATCTGTAAGTCACGCTGTTTACTTCTTAATATGTTTATTTAAAGCCTTAATTCTGGTGCTTAATATGTTTATTTAAAGCTACGCTGTTTACTTCTTAATATATTATTTAACTCTGGTGCTTAATATGTTTATTTAAAGCTATGCTGTTTACTTAATATAGCCTATTATTTAATTCCGGTGCTTGATATGTTTATTTAAAGCTACGCTGTTTACTTCTTAATGTATTATTTAATTCTGGTGCTCGGCTGGCAAGCGACGCTGCTCACGATGCTAACATGAGAGATAAGGAAACACCTGAGATACGAGCAAATCGCCAGATGCATGACTGTCAACGACACAACCTTCTGAGAGAGGAGGAGACCCCTCAGCAGCAAGAGGAGCGACGAGCAAGGGATACCACGTGCCATCACAAGATGCATCTCACCCGTCTGGAAAAGGCACGAAAAGACAATCGCAACCTTGCTCGGTGTGACGATACAGACTTCTTCCAAGAGGAACTTCATGGTGATTATAGGCACATGCTAAGCAAGACCTCACTGTTTGAATGTCCTACATGCTCACATTGTGGTGCCTATGTATGGAAAGAGGAGAGAAAAAGATTCAGCTGCAACTACGGTAAGATTAACCTTACATATAACGCCACAAATCCCAAGCCTGACTCAATCCCACCACAGCCTCCAGATGCTATTAAGGACCTTTTCCTTGATCAAAGTTTTGTGAAGCAAGCAAAACAATACAACAATGCGCTGGCAATGGCAAGTATTGGTATTAAAGAGGTAGCTATGCCTGGCTTCAACCCAGGTGTGAGTATACAAGGCAAAGTTTATCATTACATTGCCGGCCCCTTCCTGAACAAGGTCGCACACCACTCTTTGCTCAGATCTATTTCCACGATCCTGCTCATGAGCTGGAAAACCGTCGAGCCCATGCCTCAAACAGTGATCTGAATGAAGATTTTTTACTGAGGATGCAAGAGGCCATTCACATGTGCAATCCATACGTGCAACAGTTTAAGTCAGCCATTGAGTATGTGACCCAAAATGACAATGCCAATGAACTGAAAATTGTCCTAACAGCTCACACATGATGTCATGACCTTCATCGTGGCACTGTGAATCTTCCATCACTGAATAGTGACGTGGCTGTCATAGCTCCAGGAGTAACAACTTCACAGCAGTTTGGGAAACTGGCTGTCACTCTTCACCTCAGAGGAGGAAGGCTTCAAACAATCGACGCCATGCATCCAGCATATGACCCATTGTCATATGTGCTTCTTCTGCCTCAGGGTTCCCAAGGATACCACACTGAGCTTGCAGGTATCACACCAACATGCTTCTACTGTTACCATCTTCAAGTGCGTGACATTGCTCAACACTTCAATTTGCTGCTTCGTGATGGGAGACTGACACAGCAATACGTATGGGACATGATGGCAAAAATTAAGTCACACCGCCTCAACTGGATCCGCCACAACCAGAAGTCTATCAAGGCTGAAAAGTATAAAATCTTTGTTGATGCCCTGAATTGTCACACCGAGATCATTCCTGGACGCCTAACCATCCTGCCACCCACAATTTACGGATCACCCCGATGGTATGCCAAGGAGTACCAAGATGCCATGGCCTTGGTACGAATCAAAGGAAAACCTGACTTCTTCCTCACCTTCACTTGCAACCCAAAACTGGCCTGAAATCACAGGATCACTTTTTGAGGGTCAACAGACCAATCAGAGACCAGACATCATTGCTCGAGTATTTCACATGAAGGTGGAAGCACTCCTCACAGACCTCCTAAAGCGTGACATCTTGGGACACATTGATGCATATGTGATGGTGAAGGAAACACAAAAGAGGCATCTTCCACATATACACATGCTCATGACCATGGTAGCCCGCGACAAACCCAGGACCGCCAGCGATATTGACCGTGTGGTGTCTGCAGAGATTCCTGACAAAAACACAAATATGGAACTAGGCTACATCGCATTGTAACATCACACTAGCCTGGGAAAACCCAGACAACTTCTGGCAAATTTAGATTTGTTCTGCAAGTAGGTCTGGCAAAGAGCCCATTGAAACCCATTTCCAATCCGTCGAAATCACGGCACCAATCAGAAACGTTGGGGCGGGCTTTACACGATGATGACAGAGCAGTGACCGTGAAGCAGATTTTGTACATTACAAAGATGGATGCCGCCGTGGAACATCACTCGTTCGAATCAGCTATCGCGTCTGTGTCAATCGATTTAAAATTATCATTTTCGTTAAAACCCGAGCAAAGAACAGCACTTGAAGCCTTCATATCTAAAAAAGATGTGTTTGCTGTCTTAACTTTTTTAAATCCTGCGGTGTTTTTGACGGAGTAGACTCACGTTTTCTTTTTTCAACGGCATCTGTCGATCCCGTCGCTTCCCCGTCTTGCTCGTCCTTTAACCATGACCTATACACTGGCAAATCATGTTCTAATCGCAATATAAATGCTTTACAACGGGGGCAAATGCGATCAGATCTTGATGTTTTCTGTTCGACCGTCAATCCGAGATGTTTCAATCGGTCTGAGATGCTATTCGTTTTTCCAAATGTTGTAAAAATGTTGCTGGAGTGGCGGTGGACACCAGCTATTATCATATTTCTTTTACAAAACCGGCAAAAGTCTTCAGAAGCCATTGCTACATAATTTTCCTCGAAATCACAAACAGAATTACTGTCCGAGTCTCAGATGTTTCTCCGTCGCTCTGCATATGTCATGTCCTTTATCGCTCTGATTGGTTTTAGGTCTATCCAATTGCGCCAAGAGGCATTTGAGTTGGTCCGTTGGTGACGCCCCTCTGGAAATGATTTGTCTATGGAGCTTTGCCAGACCCTAACTCAGTTACAACTGAGAATGGTCTGGTTTTAACCAGGCTAACATCACACATGATTCACGGTCCATGTGGGCAATGGAACAGTGCTAGCCCCTGCATGGTAGACAAAAAGTGCACCAAAGACAATCCCAAACAATTGAGACAGAACACAAGCTTTTCAGACAACTCCTACCCACTGTACCGAAGACGAACAGAAGGAGCACCTGGTTCTCCCATCATCAAGACCACCAGAGGTGGCGTCAATGTACCTGTCAATAATACATGGGTTGTGCCATACAATCCGTACATCCTGCTCCGATACAATGCGCATATTAACGTTGAAATTGTGTGTGCTGTCTCCAGTGTCAAATATCTGTATAAATATTTGGAGAAGGGACCTGATCAGTGCATGGTGAGACTGGATGTACCTGATGATGAGACCCGTGAGATACTACGACGTGATGAGGTGACACGTTATGAGTTAGGGCGTTACATCACTGCATCTGAGGGATACTGGCGCATATACGACTTCCCCATTCAGCAGAAACAGCCACCAGTAAAGATGCTTGCAATTCATCTAGAGGATGAACAGGTCATCATGTTCAATGATGAAGGCGCTGCCCAGAACCTGTTGGACTCAGGGCCAC